AATAAGCTGTGCATTAGTGCAGATGTTATGCTGTTCAGATAGATGCATGGTTTATTCATTAGTCGAAGTTGTGACAGTCCTCATTGAAATGTATTGTAGGTGTTGGGTTTGTCGGCCTCCCTGGTGAACAACGTGAAGCGTGGCGAGAACATAGAAACGAAAGTGAGGCTTTTGGAGCAGTTGATGCGGGCTCGGGTGGTCACTTCCACGGACAGTTCGATTGACGCCGTAATGGGTCATCGGCACTTGGAAATTAGGCAGGGATGTTGCAACACCAGGCTTGAGCCAAACGATCCATACTACGAGGTTTCGCAAGTCCTTCTTCGTGGCGTAGAGAAACTTAGACAGTGCGTTCCATCTGCTCCCTTTTCGACGGTCATACTAATCGTCATTTGTTGTTATCGAAAGGCTCTCTTGTGGTGCGGGGAGGGAGGATTACATAGATCTGGAAGCTCTGCTTGACGAAAACAAGAGGATTAAGAAGGAGGCCTTCCTCACCGTCATGGAATTGCACGAGTTCAGTCCGTCAAAGGTGAAGCGCCTCTTCATTCAGTGTCTCCGTACGATGGAGGAATTCGGAGTCTACTGCGCTGCTCATGTAGGCATTAGTTGCACTAACTTGGTAGACAAGTTGGAGTTTGATTTGGCAAGTGTCTGTTTCTTTGCTCACTAGGCATGCGAGCAGTTTGAGAGGGCGCTCAAGGGACTTCTGCTTTTGAGTTCATCCCAAGTCATAACTAGTCCTCAGTGTGTTAGTATTATTCAGACCAGCTTGACCTCATTGGCGGAAGCACTTGAGACCTATCGACAAATCCGTCAGTCGCTCACCGCCAGCCTCACTCAGCCACCGGCGTCCAATGCCACGGATCCCGCCTGGGGTGAGTGGATCATGGCACACTTTCCGTTGAGCTCAAAGATGGTCTCGTTGCTGCGTTTGCTACTGCATTACCGCGTAAGTTGGTTGGTTTTGTCTCGTATCATACCGTTGCCTCATCTGTGGTGCTTGGCTGCAGCGGGTGGTGGAGGGGAACAATGAGAATCTGGCTGCGCTGCTGTTGGTAAAGGAGAGGATCGCGGCGGTGTCGGTGGCGCATTTAATCACGGAGATGTCGGCAGTGACGCCTCTGTATGGTGGACTGAAGGCGTCGTATTGTGTCAGTTCGAATAAGACCAACCCTGTTGTGAGTTGAAGCCTGTCGTGGTGAGTGATTGTTGTCCTACAAATGCGGATGGTGGTGTGGTTGCTTTGCAGGTGTCATTGTCGACGAATGAGCAATTGAATGTGTTGGATGGGT